AACTGAATGTGGGGGTGATCCTGTCCTGGGGAAAATTGGGAATGGCTCCGGGGTGGTTTGGGAATCTCATGGAATTCCTGCTCTCTGCCTAAATCTGGGATTTTTCCATGAAATCCTGGATTGGGGGTGCAGCCCTGAAGAGGAAAAATTGGGAATTGCTGAGGGAAACTCCCGGCTCTGGGGTGGTTTGGGAATCTCATGGAATTCTGCTCCCTGTGCCTAAATCCGGGATTTTTCCATGAAAACCTGGATTGGGGGTGATCCTGTCCTGGGGAAAAGTGGGAATGGCTCCGGGGTGACTTGGGAATCTCATGGAATTCTGCTCTCTGTGCCTAAATCCGGGATTTTTCCATGAAAAACTGGATTTGGGATGATCCTGTCCTGAGGAAAATTGGGAATTGCTGAGGGAAACTCCCGGCTCCAGGATGCTTTGGGAATCTCATGGAATTCTGCTCCTTGTGCCTAAATCCGGGATTTTTCCATGAAAAACCTGGATTGGGGGTGCAGCCCTCAAGGGGAAAAACCGGGAATGGCTCCGGGGTGATTTGGGAATCTCGTGGAATTCCTGATCCCTGATCCCAAATCCCAAATCTTGATCCCAAATCCCAAATCCCTGCTCCCATCCCAAATCCCTCCCGTACGGATTTCCTTGGGAAGCTGTGCCAGGGTTTTCCCTGGAATTCCTGGGATTTCCTGTTTCCCGGGATTTGCCTTTCTCAGGATTTCCCCTTTTCTGGCATTTCCCCTTTTCTGGAATTTCCCATTTTCTGGGATTTCCCATTTCCTGGGATTTCCTGTTTTCCTGGATTTTCCATTTTCCGGGATTTCCCCTTTCCTGGGGTTTCCCATTTTCCGGGATTTCCCCTTTTCTGGAATTTCCCATTTTCTGGAATTTCCCATTTTCCGGTATTTCCCCTTTTCTGGGATTTCCCATTTTCCGGGATTTCCCCTTTTCTGGGATTTCCCGTCCGTTCCCTGTCCCAGGAGGGTCGGGAATACTCCGGGAATGCTCCGGGATCGGCCATTCCTGACGGATTCCGGGCTGGGAATGGGATTGGAGCTGATCCGGGCCCTGACTCCCCCCTGGATCCCAAATTCCCTCTGGATCCCAAATTCCCTCTGGATCCCAAATCCCCCCTGGATCCCAAATTCCCCCTGGATCCCAAATTCCCTTTGGATCCCAAATCTTCCCTGGATCCCAAATTCCCTCTGGATCCCAAATCCCCCCTGGATCCCAAATTCCCTTTGGATCCCAAATTCCCTCTGGATCCCAAATCTTCCCTGGATCCCAAATCCCCCCTGGATCCCAAATCTTCCCTGGATCCCAAATTCCCTCTGGATCCCAAATTCCCTCTGGATCCCAAATTCCCTCTGGATCCCAAATCCCCCCTGGATCCCAAATTCCCTTTGGATCCCAAATTTTCCCTGGATCCCAAATTCCCCCTGGATCCCAAATCCCCTCTGGATCCCAAATCCCCCCTGGATCCCAAATCCCCTCTGGATCCCAAATTCCTTCTGGATCCCAAATTCCCCCCTGGATCCCAAATTTTCCCTGGATCCCAATATCCTGGATCCCAAATCCCCTCTGGATCCCAATATCCTGGATCCCAATTCCCCCCTGGATCCTGAGGAGATTCCCGAGGGGAATTCCTTTATCCCAAATTCCTTCCATATCCCAATTCCTCCCAATCTCCTCTGGATCCCAATATCCTGGATCCCGAAATTCCAGAGGGGAATTCCTTTATCCCAATTCCTCCCTAGATCCCAAATCCCCCCTGGATCCCAAATCCCCTCTGGATCCCAAATTCCCCCTGGATCCCAAATTCCCTTTGGATCCCAAATCCCTCCTGGATCCCAATATCCTGGATCTCAATTTCCCCCTGGATCCTGAGGAAATTCCAGAGGGGAATTCCTTTATCCCAATTCCTCCCTGGATCCCAAATTCCTCTCCTGATCCCAGATCTCTGCTGGCTCCCGGAATTCCGGCTCGGAATTCCCTCGGGATCTGGGAATCCCTTGACCCCCAAATCCCGATTTTCCAGTCCCGAGGCAGAATTCCTGGCTGGGATTGGGAATTGTTCCAGCCCTAATTCCAGCTCTAATTCCAGCCCCAATTCCAGTTCTAATTCCAATTCTCATTCCATTTGCAATTCCAGCCCTGATCCCAGCCCCAATTCCATTTCTAATTCCCACCCCAATTCCAGCCTCAATTCCATCTCCAATTCCAATTCTAATTCCAGTTCTAATTCCAGCCCTAATTCCACTTCTAATTCCCACCCCAATTCCAGCCTTAATTCCATCTCCAATTACAATTCTAATTCCATCTCCAATTCCAATTCTAATTCCAGTTCTAATTCCAACCCCAATTCCAGCCCTGATCCCAGTTCTAATTCCAGCTCAATTCCAGTTCTAATTTCACTCCCAATTCCAGTTCTGAATCCCACCCCAATTCCAGCCCGAATTCCAACCCTAATTCCAATTCTAATTCCAGCCCTAATTCCAGCCAAATTCCAGTTCTAATTCCAGCCCTAAATCCAGTTTTAATTCCAGCCCCAATTCCAGCCCTAATTCCAGCCCTAATTCCAGCTCTAATTCCAGCCCTAATTCCAGTTCTAACTCCAGTTCTAATTCCAGACCTAAATTCAATTATAATTCCAGCTCTGATTCCAGCTCTAATTCCAGTTCTAATTCCAGTTCTAATTCCATCCCTAATTCCAGCCCTGATTTCAATTTTTATTCCAGCCCCAATTCCAATTCTAATTCCTGCCCCAATTCCAGTTCTAATTCCAGCCCCAATTCCAGCCCAATTCCAGTTCTAATTCCAGCCCCAATTCCAGTTCTAATTCCAGCCCCAATTCCAGTTCTAATTCCCACCCCAATTCCAGCCTTAATTCCAACTCCAATTCCAGCCCCAATTCCAATTCTAATTCCAGCTCTAATTCCAGCCCCAATTCCAGCTGTAATTCCAGCCCAATTCCAGTTCTAATTCCAGCCCAATTCCAGCTCTAATTCCAGCCCAAATTCCAATTCTAATTCCAGCCCTAAATCCAGTTCTAATTCCAGTTCTAATTCCATTTGCAATTCCAGCCCTGATCCCAGCCCCAATTCCACTTCTAATTCCCGCCCCAATTCCAGCCTTAATTCCATCTCCAATTCCAGCCCCAATTCTAATTCCAGTTCTAATTCCAGCCCTAAATCCAGTTCTAATTCCAGTCCAATTCCAGATCTAATTCCAGCCCTGATCCCAATTCTAATTCCATCCCTGATTCCAGTTCTAATTCCAACCCCAATTCCAGTTCTAATTCCAGCTCTAACTCTAGTTCTAATTCCAGCCCTGATCCCAGTTCAACCCCAGTCCTAATTCCAGCCCTAAATCCAGTTTTAATTCCAGCCCCAATTCCAGCCCTGATTCCAGTTCTAATTCCAGCCCTAATTCCAGTTCTAATTCCAACCCTAAATTAAATTCTAATTCCAGCCCCGATTCCAGCCCTAATTCCAGCTCTAATTCCAGCCCCAATTCCATTTCTAATTCCAGTCCTAATTCCATCTCCAATTCCAATTCTAATTCCAGTTCTAATTCCAGCCCTAAATCCAACCCCAATTCTAACCCCAATTCCAGCCCAATTCCATCCCTAATTCCCACCCCAATTCCAGCCCTGATTCCAGATCTAATTCCAGCCCTAAATCCAGTTTTAATTCCAATTCTAATTCCAGCCCCAATTCCAGCTCTAATTCCAGCCCAATTCCAGGTCTAATTCCAGTTCTAATCCCAGCCCAAATTCCAGCTGTGATGGGATTTTACAGGATTGATGGAAAATGAAGGATGGGAATTGTTGGGATTGATGGCGAATTGACACCGGGAATTTACAGGAATTACAAAATTAAGGATTGGGATTTGTAGGAATTCATCCAGAATTAAGGATGGGAATTTGTAGGAACTGATCCAGAATTTGGGAATGGTTTTGGTGGAAAATTCCGGAGTTTGATGAGGCCAAAATCCTTCCCGAGGGTTTTTCCATCCCCTCCGGGTTATCCGGGATCAGCCTGGATCCCGATCCTGCCCCTGATCCCAGGGCGGGAATTTGGGGAATTTGGGATTTGGGATGTGGCAGGAAAATCCCTCTGGATTTTCCCTGCAGGTGCAGCAGGGAGGTCCCAAAATCCAGGGAAACTGAGAGGAGAGGGAATCCCAAAATCCAGGGAATCCCAAAATCCAGGGAATTGGGAGAGGAGAGGGAATCCCAAAATCCAGGGAATCCCAAAATCCAGGGAATCGGAGAGGAGAGGAGAGGGAATCCCAAAATCCAGGGAATCCCAAAATCCAGGGAATCGGAGAGGAGAGGGAATCCCAGAATCCAGGGGCACTGGGATTGGGAACTGGGAACGCCGGGAATCGCCGGGATAAACCCGGGAATTGCTGGATAAACCCGGGAATTGCTGGGATAAACCCGGGAATCACTGGGATAAACCCGGGAATTGCTGGATAAACCCGGGAATTGCTGGGATAAACCCGGGAATCACTGGGATAAACCCGGGAATTGCTGGATAAACCCGGGAATTGCTGGGATAAACCTGGGAATCACTGGGATAAACCCGGGAATTACTGGGATAAACCCGGGAATTGCTGGGATAAACCCGGGAATCACTGGGATAAACCCGGGAATTGCTGGATAAACCCGGGAATCGCTGGGATAAACCCGGGAATTGTTGGGATAAACCCGGGAATTGCTGGGATAAACCCGAGAATTGCTGGGATAAACCCGGGAATCACTGG